AAAAAAAAAAAAGATACCCGGGATGAGCTGACCGCATGAGGACATCCGGCGATAGAAGCGATCAAGTGCACGCACAACTATTGCGCATTCTCGTGCATCTGTTTCTTTCAAAAATCGCTTTCGTACTGCTTCCTCGAAACGATTCATCAGTGAGTCAACCAATTCAATGATATCACCAGTGGCCACCTCAAATGATTTCAACTTGATTACCTGTTTTCTTTGTACGAATTTTCAAAGCCTGCACACGACGACTCAGCGGACCGAAACATTCACTTCATTTTGCATTTTTTTGCTTCCCTTGCCAAGTTTTCTGTTTAAAATTACCTTATTTATTTTTTTTTTAATTCTCTTTTCACCTATTTGAAGTGTTCAGTGATCCTTGATACGGCGTTTCCATCACTGAGGTGCTGTTGACTTTCTCTACTGAGCGAGCCTACAACCACGCCCCCGAGTTCAATCCCGCACTCGCCTCATTCACAATACTCCATACAATCGAGTTAGCGGATCGAACCAGCGCATCGACGGTCTTCCTACTGGCATTTTTATATATCGTGAGTACCAATCGATGACGCTTTTCGTCCATCTGTTGTCAGTCATACTTGCTACGCGACCGACTCGGCTTCTTTTCCTTGCATACATTTCTTCTGTTACATCTTTCACAGTAAAAACGTAATCGAAGCTCATTGTTGCGTATACGCTATGGCCTGCTGAAACCTAACACTGGTCTCCCCACCGATCGTTGTGTAACAGTTTCTGTTCTTCACCGACAGTGATGTTCTACGTTTTGCATTCAGCACCCTTAATCTCAAAATTGATGGAATTCACAGAGAAAAGAGTAACACCTATTAACCTGATTTGGAAAGAACCGTTGACTGAGCGCAGTAACCAGTGACAAATCGGCTAAAAACGCGCTACAACAATTATCCACAAATTCCAGAACATCGACAGCCTCCTTCAATAAATAATAAATAAAGAAAAATCATAGCTTAAACAGCGAATCGCACTGAATTTGATGTAAACTGCAACTGGGACAATAATCTTTTGCAAAAGATCAATGTTCAGAAAGATGAACCAGCGACCGTCGTTGTTACAATTTTAAAAACCTACGGCAATTACCAAAAGTAGTGCTTAAAGAAATGGCACCCTTGCTGCGGTGCTCAGATGGGATTCTTTTCGCTGAAGAAATGCTAGCTGTGCCACTGATAATTAATGGTAAGTCCCCCGACAATGTAACAGAGCCCCGCAGCAGGTAGCGGAAAAGGAAAACTTATGTGGTAGTTTGATAACGATCATGATACTGGGCATGAAACTAGCCGGAAAGACAAGAAAAGTCACAAAAAAAAAAAAAAAACTAAAGGAAAATATTACTTTGAACTAAGCCCCCAAAAAACTAACCTGTTTTTGTGACTGTATCGTCGAAAGCTGATCGTTCAAATTTCGCCGACAACTAGCCAAAAAATCACTGTATACCGCTGACGACTGGACACCCAATTTTAGTAACAGCGTAATCGCTTCCGAAAGTTTATCCGATGAAATGATACAGCCACAGACGATTTTTTTGAGCTACAAAAGCATTGCGAAATTTTTGTCGAATTTTTTCAATAAAAAATTTAAAATTGAGAAAATGATGGAACGGTGGAAACTGGTGCAAAAAAAAACGATACTCGCCGGTGACAGAAATATTTTTTTTACGACTAGATGAAGTTACTCAGAATTTAAAGCCGAGGAAAATGAAAACGTTGCTGCCAGCTGCGTTAGAAGTGA